AACGGTAAAGTGACTCTGGGTTCAATGCCCAGTATGTGTGTGTGTGTGTGTGTGTGTGTAGGTGTGTGTGTGAGAGAAAGAGAGAGAGAGAAATTATTATCTTAAGCCACTAAACCTGTGGTAAATTTTTTACATGGCAATAGAAAACGAACACAGCTCTTTTGCCTCCTTCATGCAAACCATGGCTTTTTAATATCTTCTTTCTTCCTGCAGTCTCTATTCCTGTCTGAGACCGAATTATGAGTCACAATGGCCTCCCCACAGATTTCTAGTTTCCTGTGGTCTCCTTCTTCATTCTATCCTGCGCTTCTCAGTCAGAGTAACCCTCTCAAAACATTGCCCTTGACTTGCTCAAGAACCACATTAACTCTCCTGGGGCTGGTTATCAACTCGCATCTCTACGACCTGGTTTCACATTCCTCTGCCACCCAGTTGTTACAGAGCTTGCCTGGCTCTCTTGGCCTGTCTGATGACCAAACCTGTGACGTAGGCCTCATTAGTGACGTTGACTAGTTAAGAAAGTCACTCTGGAGAACACCTTCCGTACAGCAGTGGCTCATGACTTTAAGTGATTTTTTTTTTTTTTTTTTTAGGACTGAGAATAGTGAAGTCCCAATGTCAGAACTAGGGGTCAGCTCATAGACCCCAGGGACTTTGGGAGTTGTTGTTGTTGTTATTGATGCCCTTAGTTTAAGTTGATTGTAGTTTGCATTGTTGAAGCTTTTAAAGCTATTCTTCAGAATTAACTAAAATGTATTGAGGGTCTATTAGGTGCCAGGTACTAGGATAGATACTTAGAAGTATGTTATTTTCATTAAAGGTATTCTCACAGCACTAGGATCTTTTTTTTTTTTTTTTAATGATCATTAATCCCATTGCCCACATAAACTTTACTGAGTTTTTTTGGTTGTCGGGGGGCAGATTACTGGAAATTGAACTCAAGGGCACTTTACCACTGAGCCACACTCCCAGCCCTTCTTGTTTTTTTTTTTTTGTTTTGTTTTTTGTTTTGTTTTTTTAAGACAGAGAGAATATCGTTGTTGTTGTTGTTGTTGTTGTTTTTTAGATGGACACAACACAATGCCTTTTATTTTTATGTGGTACTGAATATCGAACCCGGGTCCTGCCCATGCTAGGCAAGCGCTCTACTGCTGAGCCACAATCCCCTTTCTTGTTTTTTTTATCTTTTATTTTTAAGGCAGGATCTAGCTAAGTTACCCAGGTTGGCCTCAAATACGATCCTTCTGCCTCAGCTTCCTAGGAGCTGAAATCACAGGTGTGCACTGCTGCACCTGGCTAGATTATTGAATGAAGCAATGGATTAATGAGACCAGACCTAATAGTGCTGCACAGTCTAAGAGGTAATGGCCCTTGTGACTTTCTTATAGAACTTAATACTATTAACAGATACTTAAGAGATATTTATAAAAGAAGGTACAGATTTTCAATTATAAATATTAAATCGTCAGTTAATCCTACTCTCCCTAGTCACGAGAGCAGTCTTTCAGTTAGGGGTCAGACAGCGCTGCCCCTTAGGCCTACTTCTGTATCAGAATCACTGAAGGGCCATATTATGTCCCTCCTAAAGGCACAGGACTCTGCAAACCAAATGGTGAAACCCAAATATGGTTAAAGAACAGCTGATGGAGTTTCACATCAGCAATTTGTTTTTTCTTCTGAAAGCCAAGCTGGGGCATGCAACAGGCCACTGGAGTTTTGTGAGGGCGGGAGGGGGAATGAGATCGGATCTGCGCTATAGATCACTCTCATAGCAGAGTATTGGACGGACGATAGCAGTTCTCAGCCTAGAAGAATCAAGGTGAAATCTTAACACTTTCCCAGTTGAATAGAATAGATATTTGTATATGTCTCATCTTTCCCATCTGAGTTCCTTCTAAGGGCAGAAAGTTTATTGGCTTCTTCTGCAGAACCACAAAGTAGGAGTACACTAAAAAGTGGAGGAAGGACTAAAAACAACCCAAGTGCCCATCAACAGGTAAATGAATTAACAATTATCGCCTAGCTATACAACAGAATATTACCCACCCCCACTCCCCAAAAAAGGGCTAATAGGTGCAAAAATATGAATGAATCTCAAAATACTTATGTTATATTAAAGAAGCCAGTTAAAAGAATACATACTATTGGGTTTAGAGGAAGGAAACAGAGCATTTTGACTGTAGCAGAAAACCTGTATAGCAGAGCAGGAGGAGAGAGGCCTGTGAAAGAGAGAAAAGGCAGATTATGGGAGGGACCGATCATCAAGCTTTTTAAAAGTGTGCTTCGGATTGTAGTTCCACTTCTTTCTGAATGATACTGGACACGTCACTTAACCTCTCTGAGGTTTGCTTTCCTTTATCTGCAAAATAAGGATGACAAAAATGGGACCTCTCTTAAAAGGTGGCAGTGAAGATCAGACAATGAATGTGAGCCACTTGGCAGAGGACTAAGGGCTCAATACCTGGAAGCCGTTATTATAACAATTATTGTTGTTAGCCCTACATAAGCAAACATTTAAAGATGCCTGAGCAAGAGAAAGAAGTGTTTAAAGGAGGTTCTTTACAAGAACTAATCTCACCATTATTGATCACTTTCCCTCCAGAATTAATATACCAAATTCTATCACCACTTCCTCCTTCCTTGCTCTGTGACTTCCTTTCTAGTGAGAATCATTCCCAGGAGGAGCCCCTAACTAGCAGCGAAAGCTCTCTTATGCTAGTCAAAGTATCCTAGCTGTGGAGTCCCCCCCACCCCACCCGACACATACACATTCTCCATCTCTCTGGGATGGAGAATCAGAGTCCTCCAAGACTACTTTGAAGATCAACCATCACTACCCCAGATTTATATCCAGGGTGTGTTCTGAGGAGAATAAAGTAGGCAGGTGATGTTTCTTTTCATTTCAAAGCATAGATATTTCCCCCCAAAATCCAGGGAGGTGTCCAGGCTTTCGAGAGTAGCCCTACTTCCGCAAGTCCCTTAAGCACTAATCAGGGAGCTTATTCTCTGAAGAATTTATGAGGAAAGACATCTCTCTACCTCAGTTTTGTTATCTATAAAATGGAAGGTAATAAAGGTACTTCATGAGGTTTTTTTTCTGAGGATTAAATGAGCCAATATGTTCAAAGGGCCTATATGATACTACCTGGCACGTTGCATGTGCTTCATGTTAGCTACACTTTATTAAGGGCTTTATTTCTTCCACTATTTGTAGTGCTTATTTATGGTTATATATTTCTCAGTCATTAAGCATTAATAGTGAACCTGTAATAGGCTATTTCAGCCCAAGTGTACACCTAGGGTAGAAGTGACTGATGGCTTGTAAATATTCATCCTCCAGGTCAGAGACACCCAGCTTTTCCCCAGACCCAACCACAGGTGGTAGTATATGTTGATTTAATTTATTGAAAAAAATAAATTGCAAACAAGCTTTTAGATTAATTGGTAACTTTATTAATAACTGCAGTGTCTACACACATTTGAAAACACGTGTAGGAGACATGCCATATAGTCAGTCTGTGATAATTTCTAAAGTTCCTTTGGATTCATGAAATCCCTGCAATCAACTCCAGAAGTAAATGATGAGACCTTAGTGTCTTAATCCACAAAATCAAGGTTTGAATAGAAAAACTCAATGTTCTATAACTCCACAAAATAAAACTAAAATGCAATTGTCCTCTCATAGGAGGATACAAAAATAGTGTTAGCTACATGCTTTCTCTCAGCCTCATCTATAAAAAAGATATTAATTCTGTTGTCCCACCTGTCTTGCAGAGTCTTCTGAGAAGCAAATGAGGTAGCAACTATAAATTAAAACCTCATCTCAGTGAGGAATAGAAAATCAGGATTGAGGCAACGCAGGGGTGGGGAGTAGGGGGTGTTGGTCTTTGCCACGACCAACATTCTGATTTCAATGAAAATCTGAAAGGTTACGCTAAACTGTGAAGCATAAAGGTAGAACCTATTGCAGCCTCCTCTTTCACAAAGAGCATCTTAACATGCCCCCAAACCCCCAGCTGTTGCACTGTGACTAAGGACAGATTTGGGAAAGGAGCCGCAAAAATATTTCCATTTTCATCCTGTCTTCACATACAGCTAATGGAAAAGAACAGCGCCCATCGACCCACAGAAGCAAGGAAGAAAGGGGTGGGTAGAAAAATTATCTCAATAAATATTAATTCAGTAAGTACTATTTGTCCTCTATGTGCCAGGCATTGGTTTGCACTTAAGGCACAGTGGGAAGTCAGACCCGCAAAGCCTGTCAAGGATAAGGAGAAAGATCATAATTAAGAACAAATAAACCAATTTCAGCTCGTTAGGAGGAAGACAAAACAGCCAGGCAGGAAAGATAGGAGCGAATTCCTGAGTGGATGGCTTAGAAAGGTATATTCGAGATGACTTTTGAGCCCAGATCTAAATGACCAGTGCGCTTTGCACTGCCATGGGAGCGCACGTTCCAAGCACAGAGCATTAAATGTAAAAACGATCCACAAATCCAGAAAGGATTTTAAACACCCAAGGGGGAGTGGTAAGTATTCCGCAGCAGCGGGAAATTTTAAATATTCGTGTCGCCCAATCAGGAAAAGTTGAGGGCCCGGCTGCGCGGGATCCGCCCTAAGTACACAAAACCCACGGTATACACAGGACACCTCGCAGGGTCGAACTGGCGGCTAGATACACCAGCTGCATACACCAGCTGCGGTCAGGTTACAGTCGTACTGAGCTGTCAGCGCTCGCTGGAGTCGGGTTTCGGTCCTGGGGTCCTCGTAAAACACGACTTTGTTTTAGGTCAATAAAACACCCAACAAAGTCACCAGAACACAACGGTCTGGGGCTTGGAGGAGAAAGGACAGACCCCTAGCATCCCAGTTTTAAGAAAGCTAAGCAGCGCAATAGGAGGAAAAAGCAAGTCCAGTCACACACCCGGAACCTCAAGTTACAAATGTTTAAAAACTACTTGTGCCATCTCCTAGGACGTTTAGAACTAAGGGAATACAAGTGAACCAAGCTCTTTTCTGCTGATTAAGTGGGTGGCTCTTAAAAGAGCCTTTGGAGAAAAGCGGCTAGAGAGCGCCAAGTCCGAGCAGGACTCATTTGGAGCTGGTGTACTTGGTGACCGCCTTGGTGCCCTCGGACACGGCGTGCTTGGCCAGCTCCCCGGGCAGCAGCAGGCGCACGGCCGTCTGGATCTCCCGCGACGTGATGGTCGAGCGCTTGTTGTAGTGCGCCAGGCGGGACGCTTCGCCGGCGATGCGCTCGAAGATGTCGTTGACGAACGAGTTCATGATGCCCATGGCCTTGGACGAGATGCCGGTGTCGGGGTGGACCTGCTTCAGCACCTTGTACACGTAGATGGAGTAGCTCTCCTTGCGGCTGCGCTTGCGCTTCTTGCCGTCCTTCTTCTGGGCCTTGGTGACGGCTTTCTTGGAGCCCTTCTTGGGGGCCGGAGCGGACTTGGCGGGTTCAGGCATGGTAAAACACGGAGCCAACAGGGCTCAGCAAGGGCAAGAATTAAGGGGATGGGCGGGCCTGATCCTTTTATAACCACCTTATGCAAATTAGGGCTCAAAAAGTCCTTCCCTTTCATTGGTCCATGTAGGGACCTTGCGTTTTCAGCAAAACCTACGTAACAATCACGACTCTCGATTTTATTGGCCGTTTCTGGAGCCAAATTAGGACCAATGAAAACCTCGCTCCTGACCCCACCCCTAGGAAAGCTTATAAAGGGTTTCTTTTTGGTGCTTTTTCAATCTTGTGGGGAAATCTGACGTTTCTGCTGGTTTAAGCGCTCGGTTTAGTCATGTCCGGCCGTGGCAAGCAGGGAGGCAAGGCCCGCGCCAAGGCCAAGTCGCGCTCTTCGCGGGCTGGCCTCCAGTTCCCGGTGGGCCGGGTGCACCGCCTGCTGCGCAAGGGCAACTACGCCGAGCGGGTGGGGGCCGGCGCGCCCGTCTACATGGCGGCGGTGCTCGAGTACCTGACCGCCGAGATCCTGGAGCTGGCTGGCAACGCGGCCCGTGACAACAAGAAGACGCGCATCATCCCCCGCCACCTCCAGCTGGCCATCCGCAACGACGAGGAGCTGAACAAGCTGCTGGGCAAAGTGACCATCGCCCAGGGCGGCGTCCTGCCCAACATCCAGGCCGTGTTGTTACCAAAGAAAACCGAAAGCCACAAAGCCAAAAGCAAATAAACGCTGACAAGCTAAACCAAAGACCAAAGGCTCTTTTTAGAGCCACCCAAGTTTTCAAAAAAAGAGCTAATGCGCTACTTGTGATCAGCCCTTCATTTGACACTTTTGGTGGCTCTTAAAAGAGCCTTTGGGGTGAGGGGATGGTGCCCAGCCTAGTTACTTGTTCTTGCCAGGCTTGTGACTCTCCGTTTTCTTGGGCAACAAGACAGCCTGGATATTGGGCAACACGCCGCCCTGAGCGATGGTGACACCCCCGAGTAACTTGTTGAGCTCTTCGTCATTTCTCACGGCTAGTTGCAAATGGCGAGGGATGATGCGCGTCTTCTTGTTGTCGCGGGCCGCGTTGCCAGCCAGCTCCAGGATCTCGGCGGTCAGGTACTCGAGGACGGCCGCCAGGTACACGGGCGCGCCGGCCCCCACCCGCTCCGCGTAGTTGCCCTTGCGCAGCAGGCGGTGCACCCGGCCCACCGGGAACTGGAGGCCGGCGCGCGAGGAGCGCGACTTGGCCTTGGCTCGAGCTTTGCCTCCCTGCTTTCCGCGTCCTGACATGACGGCTAAAAATGCGGTTAGAGCTTCTTTTTCAAGGAGAAGGATGTGGAAAGGATAACCAATTTGATGTAATTTATAAGAGCTACCGGGAGGGGTGAGGGGAAGTAGTTTGATTGGCTACAAACGGAGCCGGCTCAGACAGCCAATAGGGAAGCAGAAAACAGACTTCTGGTTTGCAACAAGGAAATGACGGATTTTTTAAGTACCTACCAATCGCTGAGAGCCACATTAAGTCCCCTTATTTGCATACCAGGATTTTTAAAGAGGAGGGTTTCAAACAAAAACCATTCTCTATTTTAGAGTGGCAATTTGTCGCATTGTTTTGGTTTCTGTTTAGGGTAGGGAAATCCCCAAAAAGAACCTAAATAATTCAGAAGCCCTCAAGTAGACGGATAATTACTCCTGTATGGGATTCCGCAGCCAGTTATCCCCTTGAGCCCTAAACTAACCCTCCACCTCTCACCCTTTCTGTCTCGTCACAGCCAGGCTCCTTTAAAGAATTAACTGCTGGGGCTGCGTCCTTTCTTTGCCCTCAGTTTGGTGGGTGGCTTCGCCCCACCCCCACATCCCTGCGCAGTCTTGGAATTGAGTTTGACCGAGGGCTAGAATACATGTTATCCTTCTCTAGACCTCCAGGAGGCGTCCGGTAACACTTTGAAACTCGGTGGCTTGGTTCTCAAAATGTCGCCGTTCGTTTTTCTTACCTGACTTTTCTTATCCTGTTTCTATTCCTCTGCCCACTCCTAAGTCTGCAAATGACTGTCTCCCTACCCACAGATCTTCATTCTTCCTGAGGTGTCAAGCCCACTTTCTGTGCTTTCAATGAATATCCACATTTGTTTCAGGAGCTCAGACCCTCTTATCTAACTGCTTACCAGATAATTCAACATGATTGTCCTTAAACATCAGAACAGGAACTCATGCAAAGAACGCTCGCCCTTTTTGTCCTCTTTCCCTGAATTGCACCAACGAAATTCCAGGTACTGAGACAGAAAGACCACCCATAGACAACTAGGGGAAAAGTCTCTCTTCTTTCTAGAGAAGAGATAAGAGAGGATAGGGAAATCAAGCTTCCGACCCCAGCTATTTTAAGCCACAAAAATAGTTCCTTAAATACCCGCTAGCAACGACCAACCGCAAAATGTTCTCTAAAGCACTGCCTCTTGCGCCAACAGACCCTCAACCCCCACCCGTATGCTAATAGAGGCTTAGAAATTACTCTTTCCTGATTTGCTGAAGAAGACAAAATAGAGAGAGTTGATTGGCCTCTTTCTGAATCTTTTTACCTGTTATCCCATCGATCACCTATAGGGACAGATCATCCCATAAAAACCGCCAAGACAGAATAGTGGTACTTTGTCTTGGGACCCTTCCCATGCTGCAGGTGCATGTTTTCTGCTTTAAATAAAATTTGCTAGTCTACTCTGTTTGTGGATCTCTTGACAGCTTGCTCCCTGTTACAGTACCTAAGCCAGCATTTGCTCTTCCCTTTGTCTCAACAGCATATCCAGCCAGTTACTTCTTACCTCTTCAGCCTTTTTCTCCCAGCTCTCCTTGTCTACCTCTCCTCACTCCCTTAGATTTTAGAGCCAGCTCCTGAAGAGTAACTTTACCTGCTGGTTCTAATGACTTCGGTGATTCTCCACCCACCTTTCCTAGAAACCTTTCCGCAAAGTTTTTCTGTTTCTTCTTTCCCAAAGACGTTCCACCTCCCTCACACCATTTTCATTCTTTCCTTAGTGTCTCACAAGAGAAAAGAACTGATTTAAATTCTTTTCTTTGAGCTCTTTTCTAATGCTCTCCTTTATCCACATCTTTATTCAATCAGCACTTATTGAGTGTGTTATTGGACTGTGGGTATGCAGATAATTGAGAGTAGTAAGTCTGTGATGAAATGCTTCTAGAAAAATGGAGGCAGGCTGGTGAACTCGGAGTTAAATTAGTTAATATCAGCAATCTGTAGTGATAACTCTGGGTAAGAATGCTCTTATAGATTTGCAGAACGCTCAAATCCAATCAAAAGTGATGGGAGTGTTTCCTCAATTGTGGAATGTAACCAAAGATAATTCTGACCTAACCAGATGTTAGACTTAATGAAGTAACTTAACTTATCCAGCCTTGCTTTCATATACTTAATAGTTTAGATTCCATACAAAACCCTTTTAGATAAGTCCAGATAGGCCAATATCTTACAAATTATTCCAGACTCATTTACTTTCTATTGCTCCCAAGAGCTCCTTTCCCAGTTTTCTTACCAGAGCTATTATAAAAGAAAATAGAGCAGGCAATTTGTAAAAGTATACACCATTACAAATAGGCTGGATCTTATTTCCTTTAACACCTCTGGGATTGTTCACCAAAGGCAACTGAGTTCCTTCTCAGACAGTTTAGTTAAGCAAGCATTTAATTTGTATTCTAGAGCCATTCCACCATTCCAGCCATTGACCCCTCTCCCTCCCCTTTAGCTCCACCTCTCTCACCACCACCTGACCCCTGTGTTGCACTGTGCACCATTCATTAGGTGAGCATGGCCTCTCTGAAACTCCATGAGGTTGCACATACAGTTGCCCCTGACAGATATGCTTCCTCCTCTCTTTCTCTCCCTCTCTCCCTCACTTCTCCTTCCCCACCTCCTTCTCCCCCCGCCCTTTCTCTCCTTCTTTTTGTGGTACTGGGATTGAAGCCTGGGGTGCTTTTCCACTGAACTGAACTTCACCCCCAGCCCTTTTTATTGTTTTGTTTTGAGACAGGGTCTAGCTAAGATGCTGAGGTTGTCTCTAACTTGCAATCCTTATGCCCCACCCTCCCAAGTTGCTGGGTTTACAGGTGTGTGCCTGCCTGGCTCCATCTTCTCTTGACAAGGCAAAATTCTTCAACCTTTCAGTTTCAGTCCAGATACCACTTCTATCGTGAGGGCTTCCCTACTCCCATATAAACAGCCTTGGTGTGTCTACATTGCTTTGTTTACATCCTGGTGATGGCAGTTTTCATTCTATACTGTATTTTCATGTTGGTCTCACCTCCCTTCTGTGGCCACTAGTCAACAATTTCCAAGTGCCAACCATAAATAGTAGACTGTGATAGAATGATAGAAGATATAAAAGGAGTTCATCCACTAAAAAAAGAAAAGAAAGAAAACACACACACGTAAATGAGACTAATGTAAAGAATTCATACAGAGCCGGAACCCCAGAGGCCCCAAAGCTGGAAGAGGAGGCTGTGATGGTGAACTTGACTGGCCAAGAGATTATTTCTAGACATGGCTGTGAGGGGGTTTCTGAGAGAGGTTAGCATTTGAATTGGTGGACAATGAAGAGGATCACCCTCACCTACTCAGGTGGGCTACATCCAGTCCAGTAAGGACCTCAAACAAAAGACCAAAAGACAAAGGAAGGACAAATTTGCTTCCTGCCTCAGGGAGAACATCCATCTGCTCCTGCCCTTGGACTTCAGTGCTCCTCATTCTCTGGTCTTCAGAGTCAGACTGGGATTCTCAACATCAGTCCTGGGTTCTTAGGCCTCTGGACTTGGACTGGATCTTAGCCCATTGGCTCCCCTGGTTCTCAGACCTTGGGGTCTGGTCTAGAACTCCACCATTGGCTTTCCTGATTCTCTAGCTACAGATAGCAGACGGGAGATTTCTCAGCCCATAATCGTGTGAGCCAATCCTTTACCATAAGTCTCTTTTACTGTGTCTCACAGGAAGAATAGCCCAAATAGCTTGACTCTCGGGGTTGTTTACCAGATCTGCGACTATGGGCAAGAGACCTAACCACTAAGCTGCTCTGCTTCCTGGCTGCTTTGTACTTTGTGGGACTGTGGTAAGAATTAAAAGAGTTCATAAATATAAAACATTTAGAACAGTATCTGGTACCCAAAAAGTAGGAACATCCCAAAAACTCTTTGAGTGAGGTTGTCATTTTAGAAATAAATATGTTGGGGAGCTGGAGGCCTAGCTCATTGCTATAGCGTGTGTACTTAGCATTCCTGAGGCCCTGGGTTCAATTCCCAACACCATAAGAAATAAGTAAACATTGGTTTATCCTATGACCCAGCAATTTCACTCCTGAATATATATGAAAAAAAAAAAAGAAATGATTGTTTATGTCCAACAAAAAACATGTACAGGAATATAATTTGTTCATATATTTCAATACTGTATAATAATGAAAATGAACAATTTACAAATGACTGCCCCGCACATGGATGAATCTCACAAACATAATGTTGAGTAGAAGAAAAGAAACACGAGAGAATCCATATTTATATGAAGTTCACAAAGGAGCAAAACGCATCTATGGTGATAAAGACTAGAATAAGAGTTACCTGTGGCAGGATAGTATGGGCTTCCCTGGGAGCCATCTGAGGTACTAGAATTCTCTATATCTTGATATGGGTGCATCACATGTAAAATTAAGCTGTACATTTAAGATTTTAAATTTCTTATATTTAAATCAAACCTCAATAAGCATAAAGTACTTTTTATAAGTGAACAAGTATCGAAGTAATCATCACAGGGAAAACCAATGAGGTTGGTCGTGTGTCGATCCTCAAGTTACAGACTGGTGTTTGTTGTTTGCTTTGTTTTGTTAGTTACACATAAAATGGCCACCGTGACTCTCAGTACTTAACGCCTTTACGGCCAAGACAGACTTTCTGCAAATAGTAGATATTATTTGAAACACAAACAATCAACTTGCCCGTGGAGCTTGCATTTGCTAATTTTTCATTTATTTTTACAAAGAGAATAATGATGTCGGCCCTTTCCACTGATACACTAATTCATTCATCCATCCAATTTTGGAGGTTTGTTTGTTGAGATAGGGCTTCACTAAAACGCTCAACTTGACGTCCAATTTGCAATCCTTCTGCCTCAACCTTCCAAGTAGTCATATGCATGTACCATGGCACCTGGCATATTCTACCCAATATATTTATTTATTTATTTATTTTTAAAGAGAGAGAGAATTTTTTAATATTTACTTTTCAGTTTTGGGCGGACTCCACATCTTTGTTTGTATGTGGCGCTGAGGATCGAACCCGGGCCGCACGCATGCCAGGCGAGCGCGCGACTGCTTGAGCCACATCCCC